TTGATGCAGGACAGGTAGTAACTCTGAATCCAGGGTGAATGACCGGACCCTCACGCAGACCACAGAAGAACAACTTCAGTGCGACATTGATGACACCACCAGAAGTATTAAACTGGTGATCTGGGCATCACACTGAAGCAATATACAATCCAGGATGGTGCACCATGTCAATTACGAAGGCATACTTTTTGAAACCGAGTTGATTCCCAGCGAAAGTCTGGCAATGGGCCAGACACAGACGAATCTGACAAATTCAGTCTTTATCGAAGAACCAATAATTGGTACTCAACACAATAGACAATATCTGAAACGTGATTACCCCAGCCTTGTCCCAGGAGTCCGTGGGTTCTTAGTTCTATATGGGATAACAGACATTAATTCTATGTTGCATCAAGCTAGAATCAGTTTTCTGGAAGAAGGGTATAATGTAGCAAGGGGGGAGCAGACGCAGTGTCTATCGCATTCAATGAAGAGACTGTGGATTGTCTGAGGAGTGGTGCTACACGGCTGGAATTGCACAGACTAATATAATACCTTTATTAAGAAACTTCATTAACATTATCAGCTCTGAAATCTGTTTACCGAAATATACAAAGCACCATATTCTGTAAATTCAATTTGACAGCAAAATTTTTTGAAAAAATGTGACAATATTATTATAACCTTAATGTTTTTTCCCATAGAGAAATAAATATTCACTCCAAACTATTTTTCTATTTTTATTTTAAGCAAGTTGCGTGTCAAGTCGTATTTCTGGAAACAATTTTTGATAGATTATGATGCATGATATTCAGTTGCCGTTTTGACATCTGCAAATTCCTCCCGATGTTTAACAGTCTGGTGCAAAACCTCCGTTTTCTGATAAGAGCTTGTCAAGCGGCAAAAATAAACGAATTGGACCAGTAATTATAGCTCGCCAAAAATATTGCAATAGCTGATATAGTTCATCCGGTAGAACAGAAGCAGTAATGCAGAAATCCCTCCAGCAATATTTCAACCATAATTAACTTCACTGCATCGGTAACTGAAACATCCATACACTTTAATCATAATGCAGCCACATCATTCAACTGGATTAAAAAATCCTCTTCAGCTTTAGCATTGTATAATGAGGACTGGGCAGAACCTGCTGCCTTTCCAGTCTGTAACAAGTGAGAAGGAAAAGCCTTGCTCCATGGAGCTCCCTCAACTGATGCTTTACTGCATGGAACATGCTATCAGTTATGTGGTCGTGTGGCTTGCTCGCTCAATATGTTTTTCAACACATCATAGTGGCATTTCTTTAGCTGGAGCAATACTCCCCACAAAACACGATCAAGTTTCTGTTAGCCTAAAGCTTGCTTTGTCTTTAAAGCTGTTTTATACCACTTCACAGAGGTGGCCATGTAAACGCTTCAAGGTCAGGTTGTTGAAGAAGGGTTCAGGTTTCATCTATAAAAACTGTCCTTGATTAGGATCAAAATGAACAACCTGGACAGGCCGAAATTGTTTGATTTTACCAAACCCATGAGAAAATAAAACGTTGGCCAATAATCTGAACCTTTGATAAAATATCCCTTACATCAATGGCAAAGAGAAAAAACCTGATATTCCATCCTTCTTTACTACCGAAAAAAGGCTGACAAGTTTAATCCATCAAAATGAGCTAAATCGGAATGTAACTGCCTGGTTGTTAAATTTACAGGATATTCATTAAGCAAGTTGGGGGAGGTCTAAGAAGCTGTTTAAACTGCTGCCTCGACTGTACCAATTCATCACTGGTTCCCTCCGACCTAGACCTTCATGAAGCATATCATCCAAACATACTGTATTCAACACATAGAAATGTATTCAACACATAATGGACCTGTTCCAATAACAATCCTCCACACTTTGAAAACAATAAAGAAGTGTCCTTCAGCAATATATCTCCTTCCCATCTGCACCACAAGCTGTTTTATATCACACGGATGTACCAGTTTGGAAGCAGTCGTCCCTTTATGTTTCTCATGCACCCTGGGCATCTTATATGACGAATATGGTAGTCTTAACGATCTCAGTCATTGATTCGGGCAACACATGGGCCATGATCGAGCGTTATCGATTTCCACTTCTCTATTTCTGCGTCTGGCGTCTGTCATGATGATCTGTTGCATAATTCGTTAAAACAAGCAGGTGGTCCTGTGCCGGAAATAGCTCTTTCTTATAAACCTAAACCTTCAATTAGATCTGTCCCAAAAAGGCGCTTTTCTCATCCCTTCACAAATTATCATATACAAACCTTTTCCCATTAGGCAACAGGGTAATTCAAATTTCTTTTATTCTTTCGGAAATGCTCTTTCAGCATTACAATATTAGTATCTGCCTTACTTAAAAAATTGACAAAAAAGGGCAAGTTATTTTAATGTTTAAGAATTTACTTTCTCCTTGATGGAATCAAGTTGCTGACTATTTTCTAATAAAGCACAAGACTCACCTTTGTAGTCTAGTTTCGGACAGAACTACTAACTACTACCATGAAGTGAGTGAGTGAGTTTAGTTTTACCCCCATTTTCAGCAATATTCAAGCAATATCAGGGCACAACTACCATGAAAACAAAAATTTGTTTTCATCATATAAAACAACCTTGCTTTGTAGCTGTCGAGTAACCGGAAACACTTTTTACGCAATGGTGATTTGTGTAGCCGTAATTAGAAATCCAACACTTCAATCGTTTTATTCTCGTAAATAAGGAGAATTATTTTTAGGACCTGAATTGTCGCAACCCGTATTACTGCATATGAAACATTCACTTGTCTGATGGGAAATAATTGGAAAGACTGTGTTGCATTATCAATTGGTACATAAAGTCTGGAATGAACGTGTGAAAATTGGGCATTAGTCAAGGGCAAGGGGCAGCAACTCTGCAGCACTGTCCTGGAGACAGCCCTCTAATTGATTTGCAATTTCACATGGCGAGGGACAAATATAGGCAAACCATGGTCTGATTAGCAAGAAGTCATTCATGAGATCAGTTGGCTCCAAGTATGGAATAGTCAATGAATGGGGAGTCTACACTGCAGTTAGGAATGTTCAAGCTCTACCTGTAAAATGGATCTGGGCCCAACAAACCGGTGGTTGATAATATGAGCATCAATCTAGTGATACAGTTTGATCATCCAGTTCACTCATTCAACAACCCTCACCACACATTCCTCACTGATTTGCTGGTGTGTAGCATAACATTGCACTCAGTAATATTCATTGTATAAAATGGCTATATGGACTTTTCAAAGCTGCCAAAAGTTGGTTTGTTTGTTTTTAACGCCTCACTCAGCAATATTACAGCTATATGGTGGCAGCCTGTAAATAATCGAGTCTGGACCAGACAACCCAGTGATCGACATCATGAGCATCGATCTATGCAACTGGGATGCGATGAAATGTGTCGACCAAGTCAGCAAGCCTGACCACCTGATCCCGCCTTATAAGCATAGGTTGCTGAAGACCAATTCCAACCCGGATCTTCGGGGTCAGCAGCCCAAAGTAATGGTAGAAATGAAAGTCTAGGTGAGGTGGTTTGACATAACCTTCAAGATGATTGAACTAATACAATGGTGTGGCAAGTGCTCTTGAATTAGTGCTTATACCAGCCTTATAGCCTAGTGAGATACCATGCTGCCAATCCTTGTTATGGCCCCTTAATGGGATTTTGGTACATGATGCCGAACAGCAACCTTCAGCAATATTGGTTTATCCACCTCTGCAAGTGGCTACACCTGAACAATGTGAAGCAATGATCATACTCAGGGCTCGATTTAGTGCTTTGTTACTTGCACTGGTGCAACCCAAGATTACAAAGTGCAACCTAGTTATTAGTCTAACTTGCACCAGGAGCAAGTCAATTTTTGAGTGGGTAAACTTCTGAATAAAACATCTAAATAATTCAATAGCATATTCCTGATATTACATATTGCAATAAAAACAGTGCAACTGGAATTTGACTGGTGCAACTAGGTTTTCATCTAGGTTGCACCTGGTGCAAGTGGGTTAACATCTCTTAAATCGAGCCCTGATACTACAAGCCACTGGTTTTTCCGGACCGAGATTGCTACAGGCTGGACTCACATCAAAAATATTCAGAGCTCCAGATAAGATTTAGCTCATGTGGGTACTGTACCCATTGTATTTTCTTGGAGTGGGTATTATGAATGTTGAGTGGGTATTTCATTTTCCGTTACTCACTGCTTTCAAATATGTGGGTATTTCAGTCATTTTACTCACCTAAGTATGTCATTGAGTAAGTTTACTAATCAGGTATGTTCTGCCTTATGTCATACCTAATCAAAACCAACTTAAATATAATGGAAATGATTTCATAAAAAATCACTCATCCTATACTGACAGTACAACACTAGTCCTATACTAACAGTACAACTTGATAGCAATCGATGTCTTTTTCATTACGCAAGCGATTTTTATAGATATATTCCGTACGCATTTGTTTTAAACTTTTGGCGTATTTAACATTTTAAATGCGTAATTGGTACGCAACAATTATTTTTCAATGCGTAATTGGAAATTTTCTATGCATATTTTATCCGGATACGCAGCTTATCTGGGCCTCTGGATATTCCAGCAGAAAGCAAGCTTCAACCACTCGTCTACCACATTGTTGACAGTTACAGAAGGAAGAAGGCATGCCTTTCATCTTGACAGTACTAGCACGGTCAAAAAAGGTCAATATTACCTTTTGGTAAAACTGAATATTCTTTTGAACATCAAATGTAAAGGTCAAAGTGGGTCTCAATCACAGATTCATTTTTTTCCTCTTTTTTTTTTTTTTGAAAAAAAAAGAAGTTTTTGTTGCAACTCAGAGTTATCTTCCCTTGAAATACAATTCTGGGTCATAATCTCCATTTATCCATCTGTATCAAGACTGATGGACAGACAAATGGACAGATTCCATTATGCATCAGTATCTGAAGTATTAATGGTGCCTTCCCTGGGGAAAGGAGAAAATGGCTGCGGTTATACTCACAGTGCATGTCTCGTTCATGTTCATACTCGATGAAAGCATATCCTCGTGGTTTTCCGGAATTCCGGTCATGGATCAATGTAATCTGGAAGAAGAGATTTATCACATTAGGAGGAGAGCTAAATTGAATCAAAGGCTTATGATGTTAATAAACCATGTACAGAATGACACTACAATCATTTCTAACAGCCATAACAGAGGCTTTGTGAACCATCTTCTGTCTGCGTAGGCATGCATGTGTGGGCATGTGTCTGACTGAGTATCTCAGTGGGTATCTGAGTGAGTTTGAGTGGGTAAATGAAGGTAAGAGTTTGAGTGAGCTGGTGAGCAAAAGGCGTGGGAGGTAGAGAGTGAGCTGGTGAGTGAGGTAGTGAGTGAGCTGTGAATGAGCTGATGAGTGAGCTGGTGAGTCAGGTAGTGAGTGAGGCAGTGAGTGAGGTAGTGAGTGAGCTGGTGAGTGAGCTGGTGAGTGAGCTGGTGAGTGAGGTAGTGAGTGAGGCAGTGAGTGAGGTAGTGAGTGAGCTGAGTGAGTGAGCTGGTGTTGGAGCTGGTGAGTCAGGTAGTGAGTGAGGCAGTGAGAGCTGGTGAGTCAGGTGAGTGGTGGTGAGGTGAGTGAGTGAGGTGGTGTTGGAGCTGGTGAGTCAGGTAGTGAGTGAGCTGGTGAGAGCTGGTGGTGAGTCAGGTAGTGAGTGAGGTGAGTGAGTGAGGTGGTGTTGGAGCTGGTGAGAGTGAGTGAACTGTGTGGGAGCTGGTGAGTCAGGTAGTGAGTGAGGTGGTGTTGGAGCTGGTGAGTCAGGTAGTGAGTGAGGTGAGTGAGTGAGGTAGTGAGTGAATTGGTGTTGGAGCTGGTGAGTGAGTTGGTGAGTGAGCTGGTGAGTCAGGTAGTGAGTGAGCTGGTGTTGGAGCTGGTGAGTGAGTTGGTGTTGGAGCTGGTGAGTGGTTGGGTGGGCAGAAAAGTGGACATCATCTAAAACCAGCCAGCCTATGACTTAACAAGACTTTTTACCAGATACACTCATTAAATTACACATAAAAAATGGAAAGACAATAAGAAACTGCTGAAATTGCAAGTTTTATGTCAAATAGGACATGACGTTAAGTCTTTTTTGACATTGCTTTGGTCTATTTTGCTTTTGTGGAACCAATTTCCTGAAGAAAAGCCTCACATTAGACAAAGTAGATTGCCATTCTGTGGGAGGACAGCCTAATTTCAACAAAGATAAAGAAATAACTTAAACAGCTTATTTATGTTGTGTGCCAAATGTCCTTGAGCCAATGCAGGAAGAATAAATTGGAAAAGTCTCATGCTTGACAAATGATATTATGAGTATGTCGTGAGGAATCATTTCTCCTCTCAATCTCGATTAATCCAGTCTGATAAGTTCCGCACTGAAGGCAAGGAGAGATGAGATTATGTCGCTGCACCACTGTTGGTGAAGGGGGACATGTCACAGGAGGAAAAACATTCAAATTGATTGACCGAAAACCGATACAATGACCAAGGCTGACCACGGCAGAGAGGTTGGGCTTGCCATCTAACGTGACACCTCAGCTGTAATAATTTACTGATGCACGACATGAAAAAATATCGAAAGGGCAAATTCATGTAATAGGTTATTTCATTACTTTGAACATAATGGCATACCCATGAACATATTGCCAGTACTATGAACATAATGGCATACCCATGAACATATTGGCAGTACTATGAACATAATGGCATACCCATGAACATATTGGCAGTACTATGAACATAATGGCATACCCATGAACATATTGGCAGTACTATGAACATAATGCATAACCATGAGGCCTAAAAAAAAAAAAGCTTGTTGTTCCGATTTCCCGACCGACCCTAAATATTCCTGTCGAGCCTAACAATTTTACTTACCACATAATAAATTTATTTTCTGACACATGGGTAATGTAAAAATATTTTCAAAAAAACCCTACCTACCTACCCTAGTTCTGAAATGTAGGAACATATTGACATTACTATGAACATAATGGCATAACCATGAACATATTGGCAGTACTATGAACATAATGGCATACCCATGAACATATTGGCAGTGCTATGAACATATTGGCAGTACTATGAACATATTGGCATACCCATGAACATATTGGCAATACTATGAACATATTGGCATAACCATGAACATATTGGCATAACCATGAACATATTGGCAGTACTATGAACATATTGGCATACCCATGAACATATTGACATTACTATGAACATAATGGCATAACCATGAACATATTGGCAGTACTATGAACATAATGGCATAACCATGAACATATTGCCATTACTATGAACATAATGGCATAACCATGAACATATTGGCAGTGCTATGAACATATTGGCAGTACTATGAACATATTGGCATACCCATGAACATATTGGCAGTACTATGAACATAATGGCATTATAGACTCATGTTTAGTCTCTGAATATATATATAATTTTGATAGTAACACATCATCCCATTTAAATTGTAAAGGAGCCCCAGTGAGATGGGAGATTCAGAACCTGAAGAAATCAAGAATTCCTTCATTTAGCCCGGCTTTAGCATTGCAAAGACTGACTGACTGAGTTTGGTTTTACGCCACTTTTAGCAATATTCCAGCAATATCAAGGCGGGGGACACCAGAAATGGGCTTCACAAATTGTACCCATGTGGGGAATCGAACCCGGGCCTTCGGCCTGACGAGCGAACGCTTTAACCACTAGGCTACCCCACCGCCCCGCATTGCAAAGAGGGCTAGGCAGTAAGTAAAAGGGACTGTGACACAGCCTAACTGGCATTACTATGAACATACTGGCAATACTATGAACATACTGGCAATACTATGAACACACAAACTTCAGGCTTCAATAGCCTCTCATGTGCTCTTGAAACAATTTCCTATAAACTTACTTTGCAAAAAATGTAATGATATGAATGCATTATCACTGAAGGCTCTACTTTGCTGAGTAAATACAAACTTCAAGGGTAAGATTTAAAAATTATGCGAGTCCTGGTCTTGGATACAGAATGCTCCTGAAATATTTGAATCTATGGACCATTTAAATCTGTAGGGCGTTCGCCACTGGGCTCATGACAAGGACTTTCATGCTTAATTTCAAACACTGATGAGGATACCAAAACCACTGCACTTTGGAGCTGCTCCGGAAACCAGCACCGATTTCCATCAAAATGTTTCCATAGAAACACAAAAAAATATTGAAACAAAAATTTCAAACAGCAAAAGGTACCATTAGAGGACATGCTTCAAATGGAACCATGCTTCAACATGTCTTGGAACTGTTTCGTAACTGAAATACACTGGTAGAATAAAAAGTTTTCTGGAAGGTGATCATGGAGACTGCAATTGTTGATAACGGATAGTTTATACAGTCAGTTCTACCGAGACCAAGATGTTTTCTTTGACATATCTGCACTATAAGACAAAAACTAATAAAATCCAATATATTGCATATCTTCCAATTACAGTGTTCAGAAAACTGAACACCATACTGTCTTTAATAATAAGTACAACAATAAATTCTGTCGAAATACCTAACAACACTATTCAACCCAAATACTTTGTCTTGGAATGAAGAATCTCGTCAGAGCTAAATCATTCTTTCTACACTTCACCGCAATGACTTCAATGTTAAGCATCCCTTTTCTTATTGAGGATTTAAATTCTAAAGTATATTGCTTTTCCATCAGATTAATAACTGCCATAACAATTAAACTGGTTGAGGTCCACTTAGGCTGTCGGGGCAACCTTGAGCCGAGAGACATCATCGTGAAGGCCACGAATGACGTAATGAGCGTAGAATCCACCTCCCCTATTTCAGTCTCGCCCAAGCTGTCAATCATGCCCCAAACAATAAGTCTGTGATAATGGCATGTGGGTCTCCCGGTGGCCAATAATAACACGTAAAATTTCCTGTTTGGGACCAAAATGGAATAACTATCAATAAAATACAAATCTTGCATGCGCTGCTACTGGTTCGTTGTGCAATTCAACTCAATCAAGCGGGACATTTTACATCTTTGTTTCAGGACTTAACAGTATCGGGTGTACCGTCCTGCCTCCTGTACCGACTCAACTAGTTAATTCATTCTGCTTCAGTTAGCATTATAGCTTGACTCTGGGGAAAGCTTTCCCCTTCCCGGTATCAAGCCAACGAGACCATTATACTACTCTGATCATTAACTGTGTCATTTTTTTCAATTTAGAGGATATACAAATAAACCGTAATTCATAATTTACATCATATTCACAATAACTTGCACACTCCAAAGCATTTGCAACAGAACAAAAAAACAAACACAGAACCAGTTAGACTAACAGCTAGTCTCTGAAATGAACATATTTTACAGAAAATAAAAGTTTTTAAATCTAAATTGTAAATACATTAAAAAAGAGCCCAGGGATTTTCTTTATTTAGCTGTGGAAATCTAGACTTGCCACATTTTCTAGACTTGCGTGGGCTTCCTTGGAAATATTTGCTTTAGGGTCTATACTAGTCTCTCGTACAGACCCTGAAGCAAATATATCCAAGAAAGCCCACACAAGTCTAGAAAATGTGGCAAGTCTAGATTTCCAAAGCTTCTGAAAATGAAGAAAGTCTCATGGCTCCTTTACATTATAATATATTTTTTTTTTACTATGAACTTTTTTTCAAGTAAAACATGTTCATTTCAGAGACTAGTTGTTAGTCTAGGTCTATACGACAGACCAGTTTGTGATCTGTCCTAAATAAAAAACACCAAGTGAAGTGACTTCAATTTTTTCCCCCAGTTGAACATGTACGTTGGTGTAATAACCACCCTACTTAGGAAATAAATGGCTGCGGATGTTTGTGGCAGCTCATCTATTCCAGGAAGGTTGGAATTTCTTAAACTTGTCCTCCTTCGCAGACCTTTCTAGAGCTTGTCTGTCTACAGAGAATCGTGTGTCGACCGTCCAGCCGGTAACCTAGCTTCCAATAGATTCATCCTCATGCCTCATGCAAAATCTGTGAACCTAGCCAGACATGTTGAGTTGAGTGGGCAAATTACATCTTGATCAAAATGCCACCTT